TTGTTCGTAGATTATATGGTTGTGTATGTTCAATTCCAAAGAATCTATTGGTCAATTGGTTTTTTTGACAGTTTTGTGGCCCAAACGGAAAATAAATAAATTCGTATAGTTCTATACATTGGCAAAAACTATAAAATATTTTAAAATAGAGTTTATTGTAGTGTGAAAAATGAGAAAAACCTAAGAATGAACTAATAAAAGATTTGCAAGGCCTTTGACTAGAAACTGATTGAGAAAAATTAAAGACAAATAAGTGGACTGCTATATCACTTTCATAGATTGGAAACCTCTGTTGTATGGTATGTATATTTCTCACTGTTGGTTTGTGGACTCAGTACATTTCTAACCAAAAATCCCAAAAGACCAAGAATAGCCAATTGTTAGTCTTTCCATTGCTATTTCAAAATACCCTAGAAAAGCAATTTAAACAAGGAAAGCTCTATTTTGGCTTATGGTTTTAACGGTTTTAGTCTATGGTTGAGTGGCTCCATTGCTGTGAGAGAACATTATGCTGGAAAGTTGCAGAGTAAAGCTCCTCGCCTCATTGCAGCCAGAAGCAGAGAGTGAATTCAAGAGCTAGAGAGGAAGGGGCTGGAGACAACATACAGTTGCCAAGATCATGCTTCCATGATCTACTTCCTTCAGCCACACTCCACCTCTTGTTTCCCTGACCTCCTAATGCAGTCAAATTATGAAGTTAGAGCCCTCATGATTCAGTCGGTTTCCAGAGTCCATCAGCAACCAGACCTTTACCATATGAGTTTTGGTGGACATTTCAAATCCAGACCATATCACCAAAATAAGGTTAAAAAGAATGTGGAAAAAAACCCAAACAGAATGTGGTAGCAGAGCTGGCCTTACTGGGTAACCATAACAAAACTTTATTCTAATGAAACTGTATTAAGTAAAAGACAGTTTCATACCACTTCAAGGATGGATAAGATCACATAGCCCAGAAACACAGATATATTAGATTTTTTAAAATATCACTGCAAAACAGTCTTTTTAATGAACAGTACTGGGAATATGAGAAAAATATAATTGGAGACATTCACACACACCCACTTCATACTATATTTAAAAAAATTTAACTCCAAATAAGTTACTAACCCATATGTGAAATTTTATATAAGAAAATTTATCAGATAAGAAAACATGGCCTTGAAGTATAGAAAGTTTTCTCAGATCACATAAAGCTCTGATTATAAAGGAAGGACTAATAACTTTGGTTACCTTAAGAGTAAATCTTCCATTTTCAAAAGACACATTAAAGTGAAAATCCAATAGGTGCGAGACTACACATATAACTGGGACAGGACTTATTTGTACAGTATATAAAAACTTCCACAAATTGTTAAGAAAAGTAGAGAAAATAAACAAAAACAGTGCATACTTGACAAAAGATAAAATCCAAATGGCTAAAAAGGCATGAAAACATTATCAATTTCATAATAGGTAAAACCACTATAAAATAGTACTATTTACCTACTGGAAAATCTTATAATACCAAATATTAATGAGGGTGTGGAAACTCATTAAGTGCAGGTAGGAGTGTAAATTGGTGCAACTCAGAAAATAACATCTGCTGAAGCTGGGGTAGACATTATTAAGATCCAGCAGTTCCATTCTTAGGTGTATGCCCAGAAACCTATGTGAGTGCTCACCAGGCGCCATTGCAGGCAGCATTATTTATGATTACAAAAAACTGGAACAAACTCATAACTGTTAAAAGTAAAATGATCAGTAAATCGTGGTATATTCATATAGTGGGGAAAATGCAGTTATGGAAAAGAATGAAGACAGCTATAAACATTAGTGTGTATTAATGTGTGGTTTTCTGAGACAAGGTCTCACTGTGTAGTTCAGGCTAGCCTTGAAACTCAACTGTGTAGCCCTGGCTGCTCTCAAAATCATAGTGATCCTTATGCCTCAGCCTTTTTTTTTTCTTTTTTTTTTTTTGGTTCCGGGGATCGAACTTGGGACCTTGTGCTTTTGAGGTGGGCACTAGAACCACTGAGCTAAATTCCCAGCCCAAATTAAATACCTTTCAAACTGTAAACAGGAGGTTAATTTTAATGACTTTTGTGGTCACTCAAATTATTTATCTTCAGGTTTTTTTGGTTTTTTTTTTTTTGGTATGGGGGATCAAACTTGTGACTTTGTGCTTGCCAGGCAGGCATCGGCACCACTGAACTAAATCCCCAGCCCTGCCTCAGCCTCTTAAGTGCAAGGATTACAGGTTTGCGCCACCTTACCTGGTTCCGGTTCTAGTGTATATGAATCTTGCAAACACAGTGTCTAAGGGAAAAAACTGACATTGAAAAATATTTTGATTTCACAAATATAAACTTGTTGATTTCACAAATAATAAAGTTCAAAAAGAGTTTAAACTAATTATTGGGGAATGATTAATTTTGGTGAAACAGTAAAGAAAAGTATAGAAGTCATCACTATAACAACCTAGATACTGACTGAGAAGAATCCAGGGAAGGGCTTATAATCGGGAATGCACAGAGGGGCTCTCTGGATTATTGGCAATGAATTTTTGAGCTAGGTGATGATACATGGTAATTTGCATCCTAATAATTGATTATGCTTACTATTTATATTTTGTACATTTTTCTCCATTTGTGAGTGTTGTTCACCATTTAAAAAGGCTATTTAATATATAAACATACATACATGTATATATGCATTCATACGTATTTATACAAACAGTAGTGATAAATACAGATGTCCTTGGACAAAATAGTATTGATAAATGTGCTAAGCTGTCTGCTTTGCCAAAATGCCTTGCTAATCCTAATTAAAACAATTTAAGCCTCCTAAATATATATATATATTTTTTCTCCTAAATATATTTTGAATTACAGTAAAACTGTAAGAAGACAGATCTGTGGTCTTTAATCTTAACGCATTCTATATTTTCTGAATGACTTAGGACTTACTCTTAGGGGAAAATTTTTTTTTCATCTCATTTGGTGGTTTTGCAAAATGAAAATTTTAGCATGAATCTTCAGTCAATTTTATGCCAGAGAACTATCTATACCTTCCTTGCAGACTTTCAAAATGAATGTTCTCATGTTTTTTATTTGCATTCTCTACATCTTTACCTCTGTTTTATAATTATGTATTGAATAGAGTGACATCTTTGAAAACTTGTTTCTGGACTTTGTGTACCATCTGTGGTTTTCTTGGTGTACAGAGGAAGAGTGATTCTGACATACAGTCTTTTGGGGTTGTGTAGGTCAGGGATTTTAGTATTTTCAAGAGTGGTTTGGCTTGGTTTTGGTTTGTAAAGATCTCACTATGCAATCCAGTCTCACTATGCAAGCCTCTAACTCACAGTGTAGCCAGCCCATGCTGACCTCCAATTCATGATCTCCATGCCTCAGCCTCTCCCAGGGGCTGGGTTTTACAGGCATGCACCACCATGCTTAGCTAATGGTTTTCAATTTCTACCATGCTTCTAGTTCTTGCTTCTGTAACCAGGGAAATGCTCTACTTTCAGAATAGCGTAGTACAAGTATACCTGTACAAAAAAAGTATTCCAGGTTGAATATTTTGTGTATTTTGAGATATAAGTCTTTTTTTCCTTCCCATATGACAAGCTAAAACTACTCTTGCTGTATATATGTGCACATACAATTTAGGGAAACCAATGACCAAAATAAAATCCAACTAAAAAATTAAAATTAAATTAAAAACTCCCATGTTACAATTATATTTCTAAGGTTGGTCAGTTGACATTTCTCTGAAGGAGTATCTAAAGCATTTAGAAAAGCCAGTTTAAGTTAAAACAGAGTAATAAGTTGTGCTAGCAGGAGACAGATATGAATGCAAGTATAAAACCTCCAGTGGAATGATTGCTATAATGAAAATAAATTGAAAGCATTAAAATTGATTTCACCAGGTATAGTGGTGCACACCTTTAATCCCAGCACTCTAAGAGGCTGAGGCAGGAGAATTGTCAGGTTTGAGCCCAGTCTTGGCAATTTGTGAGACTCTGTCTCAAAAGAAAAAGAAATGCAATAAAGGTCTTGAGATGTAGCTCAGTGCAGAGGTCCTGGATTCAATCTCTAGTACCACCCCCAAAAAAATTATTTGATGTTGGGGTTGAGTTTACTATGGTCATTTTTTAAAAATATAATTGGTGTATAAATTTTTCCCTATTTTAAGTTGCCCGTCAGCTTCACAGTTTTTTTCTTTCAACTGATGTGAACATTTTAAAACATTCAGAAAAGAATTTACTATAAGGAACCACTCTGTACCCAAGATTCAAGAAGGCTTTAAATTAATGAAACCTGAAGCCCTTTTTAAAAATATGACTTCTAAAGTTCAGAAGGTTATAGATGAATTCCACCAGAAAAATTAACATTTAGCTGAGTGTGGTAGCACACACCTGTAATCCCAGCACTCAGAAAGCTGTGCCAGAAAAATCAAAAGTTCACTCCAGGTTGGGCAACTTAGCAAGACCTTATCTCAAAAAAGGACTGGGGATGTATCTCACTGTGAAAGTTCTGGGTTCAATCTCCAGTACCACACACACACTAAAGCAAATTAGGATCTATACAAATATGAGGCTCTAAATGTACTTTTGGTGTAGGTTACAATTTACTAATAGCTCTTTATTTTTCAACAGTATTCAAGACCTGTTAGTGATGTATTTTAAGTTTATATGACAAGTATATGTGTTATAGGCATATTGTAATATGTAATATAGCATTGCCTTTAAATATAATCATAAAATCTAGAATAGTACTGAGTATAGTAGTTGCCTTCAGAGCTGAGAATTGATTTGTTTAGGAGATGCAATATTTGTAAGAATAATTTCAAATGGAAAAAAAAATTGTTGGGTATTTAAGCTACATTCTGTTTTGAAACTCAAATGTCTGAAGGTGATATATGTAAGTCATGCCTTTTCCTGGTTACATAGTGGATTATTTATACCAGACTACCTATTTCATTTAAAATTTTGGTTTTATTCACATTGTTCTTAGATGCTATTAAACTACAGCTGGTTGAAGCAGGCCTGGTAGAGTGTCTACTAGAGATTGTTCAGGAGAAGGTAAATAGTGACAAAGAGGATGATATTGCCGAACTCAAAACTGCTTCAGATCTGATGGTTTTATTACTTCTTGGAGGTGAGTTGTAATTTATGCCTAAGAATATGGTTGTGAAATTGTGTAAATGTTTTGAGTTTCTTCTTCAGATACTGTAGTAGGCATTTTCTCATTTTCCTATCTCCTTGATAATGTGATGATACTGAAAGTCTTAAGCATATCATGAAAAGAACTGGAGATGATGAACCTGAGAAAGAGGAGCTTTTGTTATCTGTCAGTATTTGAAGAACTGTTATGTAGAAGAAAGAGTTGTAGCACCAGTTGGACCAAAGCTAGAGGGCTACTTGAAACTTGTACTAGAAAACTTCTAAACTCTGTTATCTAATCTCCAAAAGCTTATAAAAAGAGTCATTAATTTTCCTATAATGAACTTAATAATTTGTGAAGTATGTAGTTCCCCTGTTGTATATTTATTTAGGAATATGGATTTGTTGCTGTTAATTCATATTTAACTATTTGTTTCATTTACCTACAGATGAATCCATGCAGAAACTATTTGAAGGGGGGAAAGGCAATGTGTTCCAAAGAGTCCTTTCTTGGATTCCATCAAATAACCACCAGCTACAGCTTGCTGGAGCATTGGCAATTGCAAATTTTGCCAGGAATGGTAAACATATTAGTTAGCTCTTCCTTTGTAAATCAAATGTTCTACATTTTTAATTTTTTTTATTTCCTTAAAACATGTACTTAAAACAGTTCAGAAATGTATGTGCTGCTTTTTTAATTTTTCAGAAGCCTGCAATACTTACAGTGACTTTCCTAACTTAAATTCTAATAGTTTACAAATCATGAATAGTGATCAAGAGGTTCTTCTTTTGAATGTTTTGCACTGCAAATCTTAGTAAACATGAATGCCATTCTAATAGATAACTAATATGGGCAATATGTTCTTCGCCCTGGTGATTTTATTTTTACTTGAATAATCTGAATACTCATTGTAGGATTTTTGGGCCCTGATTTATACTCTTATACCCATAAAACTCAAGTGTGAATAATCCTCTGGTTCAGTACAGAGTATTTTATTTTGTTTAATAAAATTTCAGAGACACAGACCTCTTTACGAAATCTGGCACTCTTGCTATTCACTCTAAAAACTCATACTGTATCTAGCAAATGTGAGTCATTTTTTTTTTTTGGTACTGGGGATCGAACCCAGAAACTTGTGCTTGCAAGGCAAGTGCTGGAACCATTGAGCTAAACCCCCAGCCCGTTTTTTTAGCTTAATTCTATTTCAAAACGAATGGCCAATATGTAGTACAGTTTGAGTATCCTTTATACAAAATGCTTGGAGAAGTGTTTTCATCCGGGGATTTAGCTCAGTGGCACTGCACCTGCCTTGCAAGCTCAAGGTCCTGAGTTCGATCCCTAGTACAAAAAAAAATGTTTTCAGATTTGAGATAGTTTTCAGATTTTGAAATATTTGTATGTACATGAGATAGCTTGTGACAGAACCCAAGTCTACACATGAAATTTATTTATATAATTTCCTATACACTTTGTATTCGTGAAAGCAATTTTAGGCAATATTTTTACTTCACCTGTGTTTTTATGTGATGAAACACATGAAATCAGTTGTGAAGTTTTCTACTTTTATTCTGTCATTACCCCCCTCAGAATTTGTACTTTAAAGCATTTCAGATTTTGGATTTTCTGATCAGGATTGCTTAATATGTGTATTATAATGGCTAACTCATCCCACTTTTCACTCCCTTCTTTTTGGGAGTAACTCTGTAATAATGAGGTTAAGGCTGGCAAAATATTGGTAATTATTGAAGCTAAATGTGAGATAAATAGTGGTTCATTATAATTTCTCTGCTTTGAAAAATAAGTGTCAGCCATGATAACAAAAGTTAGATGATTGTCACTAGTATTGGCACAACATGAGCATACTTTACTATAAATAAAAACTATTGGCAGACACTTTTAAGTATCTAGTTTCTACTTTCATATATAATCAGACTCTAAAGGAGGAAATTTTCTGGTCATATTTCTGATTTTTAAAATTTTAAGAACCTTCATAGTTCTGTTTTAAGAATCTTCATAATTGGACTTCTCAAGAAAATTAAAATCTATAAATCTGAGTGGAGAAATAGTTGGAATTCATTTTATTTTGATATAGCTCCATTTTCCCCAATGTAGATCATGAGCAGTTAGAGTATCAATACTACAGAGTGTACCTACACATTTTTATAGAGGAATAAAATTATTTTTGTTTAATTCAGATGGTAATTGCATTCATATGGTAGACAATGGAATTGTAGAAAAACTCATGGATTTACTGGACAGACACGTGGAAGATGGAAATGTAACTGTACAGCATGCAGCCCTAAGTGCCCTCCGAAATCTGGCCATTCCAGGTATAATGTGAAAACAGGAGGGAACTGTAGAAAATAAAATCTATCACTGGGGGAAGATAATTATCCTGTGATAATATAAAATAGGAAAAAACTGTTCAAAAGGAAAGGGAAAGGGGAAGAGGGAAAAAGGGAAAAAAATCAATAAAAGAAGGAAGAAATGGAAACAGCTTGTGTAAATAAGGCAGGGAGGGGAGATTGAAGGGAGGGAAGGGAAATGGGAGAAAAAGAATGATCGAGCTATATCATGTACAGGTACAAACCCGCTTTGATGAATGTGATCATTAGGTATATTTAAATTATACCAATAAAGTTAATTTTAAAAATTGTTCACACTTTTCTTAATAAGTGGAGATCATAATGGTAATATTGTTTATTAATGTCTACGACATATTAATACAGTTGGATAAGGGATAACAGTAAGGAAAAAGATTTATTTAAGTTGAGGAATATGCTTTTTGTAAGTAAGCGTTTTCAGATTTTCTTAAATTATGTAAAAGTTTTGAGATTAGGTTAAAATGATTTTTGTATGTTACATTCTTACAAACAAATAAAGTAATTACATGTATAAACATCCAATCTCATCCTTAATTTTTTTCTACATAAATGTGTGTTGAATTTAATGTTTATCATCAAGAATACTGACACCATTTTAACTATACTCTTTCTTTGTAGTTGTAAATAAAGCAAAAATGTTATCAGCTGGGGTCACAGAGACAGTTTTGAAGTTTCTTAAATCTGAAATGCCTCCTGTTCAGTTCAAACTTCTGGGAACACTAAGAATGTTAATAGATGCACAAGGTAAAAAAAAAACGCTTTCACAAGTTGCATTAATACGTGATAGTCTTAATATGCCTCTGAGTGAAAAAGGACTTAGATTTTAGGATTCATAACTATATAATTATAGAAATAAAAGTTAAAAGGGATTGGTTTTGGAATCCTATTCATTACTACTCTTCTTATATCTGGCTTTAAGTGGAAATTATAGTGTACCTCTTTATTCATACATATAATCCTGGTTTTAAATTGGTTTATTATCAATTCCTGAGGGTTTTTGTGACTTTCTGTGTCCAGTATTTAACTTTGTCTTCAAAATCGTATTTCAGTACAGAGACAGTCAAATTTTTGAAGTTTTACAAATGGGGAGCATTTTTCTGTTTGCAGAAACAAATGAAAATCGTGCTAGAAATGAATTATGTTTATTTAGCTATTTCTAGATTCTAAACCCCTCTCTATATTGATTGCTTTGTTACACTCTGCCAGAGTACTAACAGAATACCAGTATAAAGTCATTTATTTTTGTATTTTTTATGAAAACTCTCAACTTAATAGAAGAAGCTAAATAATCTTTCAGGTACAGAGTATTTGCAGTTTTTGCTTTAGTAAAATTACTGTGCTGTGATTTTTGGAGATAAATTTTTTTCGCACTCTTGACATCTTTAACAGTTTTTTCAAATGATTGACTATTAGTGATTTCTTTTTATTTGCCTTCTTTCCAACAGCAGAAGCTGCTGAACAACTGGGGAAGAATGTTAAATTAGTGGAACGTTTAGTGGAATGGTGTGAAGCCAAAGATCATGCTGGTGTGATGGGAGAGTCAAACAGACTGCTCTCTGCCCTCATACGGCACAGTAAATCAAAAGTAAGTTTCAGAGGAAACCGCTGACTATAAAACATTACCTTGGCCAGTGTGTAGATCCTACATCATGAGCTTCCATGTTTATGTTTTATATAAATACATTAACCAGAACTTCTGAGGAAAGGTGAAGATTGAGCTTTTTAAATTTAGTTTTGTTCTGTCATGGTAAAGAGTAAGGCTTTGGTTGGGTGTAGGGGCTCATACCTGTAATCCGAGCAGTCAGGGCCTGAGGCAGGAGGATCACAAGTTTGAGCTTAGACTGGGCTACTTACCAAGTTGAAGGCCAGTCTGTACTACATAGCAAGACCTTATCTCCAAAAACAAAACTAAAAGCCCAGTGGGGGGTGAGGGAGTGTCAGTCTATAGAATAAAATAGAAATGGGTTCACATTTTATGTCTACCATTTAAATGACTGAGTGTCTTCACATCTGGACATATTAATATATAAATATATATATATAAACTGAGGGCTGGGGACTTAGCTCAGTGATTCCGCCACCTGCCTCACAAGCACAAAGTCCCGAGTTCGATCACCGGTACCAAAAAAAAAAAAAACAAAAAGAAATCAAATACCTAGATAGTACATGATGCCTAGTATATTGTCATACCAGTGTCAGCCTCCCTCATACTTGTCTGGCACGTGCTACTTAATCAGTGAATGAACAGATGAAGTATTTTTATACTTATGAACTTTTTGATTGTTACACTTGTTATACAGCTTGAATAGTGATTGTATATGAGAAGAAAGTCACTTTAGAATTCAAATTTACTATTATTTATTTATAGAACAGATAAAATATGCCAAGATAAAAAAAAGTAAAGGTAGTCCCTTAACTTGTTTAGGTCTCTTTCATATAAATAATAGACTTTACCATCATTAGCTGTCCAGCTGGTTCACCTCAAGAGTGTTCCCAACAGATGCCATATCTTGAGATCTTCCACTGGGGAAAGACAGGTGTTAACCAGGACCTTCTTGATTCCTGTCTCACCCAGACCAGCCTAAGAGCCTGTATATCCTCAGTGACACCAACACAGAACCAAGTAGTATATTGGCAAGATGACAGGTATCAAGAAAGAATGGCAAAGTGACCTCCTTTGATACCTCTCTCATCCTACTCCATCACAATTCTTCTCTGAGGCCCATTTGTTCAATTTAGGTGCTTACAGTGTAAATACTAAAACATGACGTTACTTTAAAGAATTTTCTAATGAGGATATAAATATAAAAAGAGCTAATTACAAAGAACATACACTGTTCAGGTATGAATAGAGAAAAGAGTGACCAATCAATTCTTTCTGACCCAGGGTGGTGTCACAGAAGGGATGGGTTTTTTTGTTTTGTTTTGTTTTCTTCTTAAATTCTTTTATTGGTACATTTTAGGTACACAATACATTTACATTTATCATTGGGTCCTTGTACCTGTATATGATGTATCTTGGTTCTTATTTTTTCCCCATTCCTTGTGCTTCCTTCACCCTCTCCACCCTTCCCTATTTACAAAGACTTTCTTTCCATTTTTTCCTTTTCTCATAATTTTTCCTTTCCCTTCTGTCCTTTCCCCTTTCCTTCCCACTTCCCCTACTCCTCTGGACCTTTTAGGGATGGTCTTTTACAGGTTAACAGGGAATCTCTCAAGAAGAAAAGGGAAAGTAGGGAAAGGGCCTTTCAGGTAATGAGGACAAGTGTACAAAAGCAAAAAGATATAAAACACCATACTTTTAGAGGGAAACTGCAAATGTAGCAGTATTGCTAGAGCGTGCTGTGGGAATATATATAGACAGTGGCCAGAGAGGATGAGAATTGGAGATTAAAATGAATAATATGCTAAGTGAGAGTGTATGGATTTGATTCTCAAGAGAATTAGGGAGTTTTTAAAGGATTTTAGCTAACAAGGTGCCATTATTTGGTTTTCATTTAGAAAGATGACTCTAGAATTTAATGGAAACGAGTTTTGAGAGTTACCAAAAAAAATGCATAAGAGATGATGAACATCTGAATTAAAATTCTTTGGGGTTGAGCAGTTTGACTATTTAACAGTTTTTGTCACACACAGATTTCATTGTTTCATTTCCTGGTTCAACTGACCAGTGAGGATGGAAGAGAAGAGAACTTGAGAAAAGATCCAGAAAGTCTTATAGGAAGGAATAGGTGGTTTATAGACAATTCGAAGTTTGGGGCTTGGCAACAGGTCGGTTTATACCATTCATCACAGTAAGATGGTGCAGGGAGAAGTGCAGCTAGCACTCCCTCACTGCTTACTCCTGGTCCCCGCCCCATGCTTTTTAGAGGGGTTTACCTCCCAAATCCTTTAATCCTTAAATCTTTGAATCTCTTTGCCCCAGTCCATGAGTATACCCACCAACACTTTAGAGTTTAGGCAAATCATAATTGTTTTATTACATTACAATAAACACATTTCTTGCATTTGGTTTGGGAACTCTCATAAAATGCCTGTTACCTGTGGTAGTAAGACCAACAGTCATGATTAATTCATTATGAACAAATAATATCAGTCAACCAAACCATTAGTGTACACAAAAATGTATCTGCAGAAAGATTCATCTTGGTTTTTTTTTTTTATCTTGGCTTTTTAAATAACAATATTTAGGAGCCAAAACTACTCAAATGCTATAATATTAAGTTGAAATTTGATGATTTTAAGGCATTTTTTTGAATTTCATTTATTATAGATTTCCCTTTCCCTCATCTAACCTTGTACTTCCCCCACCAAAAGAAATTTTAAGTATCCAGGTAGGCCCTTTGCAATACAAGAGAAATACAGCATTGTACTTTTCTAGCTCTGTGTATGTGTTTCAGTAAACAATTGGAAATTTTATAGGATTGCACCTTTATAGTCACACTTGACTTTAGGTTTACAATTTAGTATAAATGGCTATTTTTTCCATTACATATCTTTCCTGTAGTTGGGAGTACACTGTTACTAAGCAGCAGTAGAAACCTACGTTCACACACTTTAATGATCAGAATCATATCTTTTCATCACATGAGTTCCAGATCAGAACTATTTTTTTAATTATTTTTAAATTTAAAAAATACTAAAGTAGAGTTGGTGGTTACTTTTGAGCAGCAGTTCTCAAAGATATTCTATCAGATAGTAATTGCAAGAAATGCTCCACAAAGCAGATATAGTTGTACGGTCAAGTTGATTACAGTAATAGTGCTTCCCTTCCCTTGCCTTTAGGGTTTGTGGTAAGTATTAATAATATTCTAGAGAAACTCCTTAACTTTATGTAATCCTCTGGTTTCCAGACTATTTGAGAAAGGATTGTTTTATAAGTGGCATTTACTTAGATTATACTTCACTTACTTTGGAAAATGCTATTCTGTAATAAGATTTTAATAATTAAACACTAGATACAAATTTGTTACATTCCTATAACTCTGTAACCAACTGTCATGAATCACAGCTCTCTACTTGTCATTTCTTCATAGAATTTTGGTTTATCGTCCATTTCGTCCAGTTTGGGTTTGTTGTCAGCACACTGATAGTCTTGAGATTGGGAAAGATTTTAAGACTAGCAACTCCCCAAAGCCTCACATTTCTACAGTCCCCTTTCAGTTTTGCAAAATATAATTATTGGTTCTTTGGGGCATTAACCAACCAAGGTAATGCAAGAATTTAATCATCTTTAATTTCATTACTGGGAATGGATCTAAAGTTCAGACTTGAAAGTTATTTCAAAGATCTTGTTCCAAATTATTATGCACGTAAGGCCATGCCATGCCTCAGACAAAGCCCCGTAGTTGATCTTAATGCCAGGTTGCAGGCTACTTGGGACCTACACTGTCCTCTAATGACAGCCTCCACCTGCAAGGAATTTTCATTTCACAAGCCTACCACTTGGCCAGATGTTTTCTGTACATTATGGCTTTGAGAAACCACCAGTTTGAATCCTTGTACTACTGCTTAATAGCAATATGACCTTGTGTGTTTTGAATTATTTTATTATTTTAACTGTACAAATTTTTATGAGGTAAAGTTTGATACACAGTATACACTGTGTAATGATAAAATTAGGGTAGATAACATTTCTATCTCCTTTAAACATATTAAAATTTTGATTAACCTAGTAGCTATATGTATTTATGGGGTAAAGGGTGATATTTCACTACATGTATATAATTACATGGTAATAAAATGAGGATAATTAATGTTTCTTTTTCTCTTTTTTTTTTTTTTTGAAACCTTCCAGCTCCTTACTTGTAGTTATTCATAAAATATACGACAGAGAATTGTGAACTATGATCCTGCTGTGCTATAGAACATCAGAACTTAATATTTCTAACTAGGTACCTTCTTATACAGTCTCCTACTATTCCTCCCCCCCCCACCCCTCCAACTCTTCCCAGCTTCTAGTAATCACTAATACATTCTGATTGACTTTTTTAAACATTAACATATGAGAGAGACCACATGATATTTGTCATTCTCTAACTTACTTAACATTGACCTTCAGTTCCATCTATTTTGCTGCACATGATAGTATATCATTCTTTTTATGGCTAAATAATATTCCATTTTGAATATATATCATGTTTTCTTTATCCATTCATCCACTGATGAATATCTATGTTGGTTCCCTATTATAACTATTGTAAATAGTTCAGCAGCAAACCTGAACACATAAGGTAGGTGACTCTTTTTATGCTGATACATTTCCTTTGTATATTTATGTATCCAGATCACATGGTATGTCTATTTATAGTTTCTTAAGCAACCTCAAAAGTGTTCTCTGTGATGGCAATACTAATTTACACTCCTACTAGCAGTGGATGAGAATTCCCTTTTTTCCACATCCCTACTAATGTTTGTTATTTTAATAACTGTTCTAACTGGGGTGGAATGGTCTCTCATTGTAGTTTTGACTTGCATTTCCCTTGCTAATGAAGTTGAGCATTCTTTGGTAAATTTGTTGGCCATTTGAATTTCTTCATTAGAGAAGTATGTATTCATATTCTTTGTCCATTTTTAATTGAAGTT